GTCATAGAAAAGATTGTAATCTTTTTTTTTATTTTTTTTATTGAATTAGTCTTTGTAGCTTGTCAAATAATTTAAAAAAAATCAACTACATGATTTACATTATCACTAGATTGAATATTTTCTAGATTTATTTTATTTTTTTATTATAGTATAAAATTCTTAATTAAGATTCTATGTAAAAAAAAAATTATTATAGATTTTTGTAGAATGAACCATTTATCTTCTTCAATTATTTCATATTAAGTAAATAGTTAAAAGACTATTGTATGAAGTTGGTTTTCTTATAAGATATACAAGCTAATCCAATTTAGAGATTTTAGTAGTCTACAACTTTATTGAAGTACAATATTTTATGTTCTAAAAAAATAGTAGTGTAAAAGAATCCATATATATATATATATATATATATATATATATAATATTCCTAGCAATCTAGTATTTAGACCAAGCTTCTTATATAATAAGTAATTATATTTGGTTATTAAAAAGGTTATTAGCTTTAAATACTATTAGAAAGTAAAGTTGCAACTTAATGAGAATTTAGGTGGAAATTTGGGAGCTTCCTAAAAAAATCTATTTTAGATTTTGTAGAATAAGATTGGAAGATTTACCTAAAATTAAGTACACATTTTTATCCAAAATTTGTATATTATTTTTTATATTTTTAAGCTTAAGCTCCATCTATGTTTTAAAGATCAGTATCTAAGCATAATCTAGAAGCTATTCTCTTTGAGTAGTTGGTTTGGTATTGATAATTTGATATCTAACAAATTGTTGAATATTAGGATAACTTAATTGTAAGGTCTCTAAAATCCATTTAATTAAGAAAAATTTGGTGGCTTTTTTCAATCTATTGTTTCAAACTTGTTTTTGGCCCTAATCTTACAAAAAAAATCAATTAAGTTCTTATAGAACATATTAAAAAAAAATTATATATATATTTTTAGTTATAGATTTTATTTTATAAATTTATTTTAAATAACGTACTGATTGTTATATTGTAAGATGGCTATAAGATGTAAGAGAAAAATATTAATTATTCTTTAGAAAGATATGGAAAAAATAATAGAAAGATAGTAATGACATTTAGTGATAATACTTTTTTTTTGTTAAAAGACTTTAACTTATTTTTTAAGGCCTTAAAAGATTAAAAATTAGATTAAAAAAATATATAAATAGGAATCTATAAAAGATAATTAAAAATAGTTTATAGAAAAAATTACCTTAATAATCTATAAATAGACATCTAAAGAGGACTACTTATGAAGTACAGTTGAAACTTAATTCCAAGGCACAAAACCTCACATCTATAGCAATTCTAGAGCTTTTTTTTGTAGATTGGAGAGCAAAATTAAGTAGAAAATTCTATAGGATTTTTTTTATACTTAGATTTTAGGTGATTTGGATTAATATTAAGTTGTTGAGGATTTTTATCAAAGTTAGAGTTATTTTAATTGATTTAAATTTTTTAAATAGAAGAAAGTTTATGTATTTGATAATTTTGTGAGAATTGTAGAAGTTTGAGTATTGAAAATTTATAGAATTTTAAATTTTCATATCTTGATTTTTTTGTGAATTTGAAATAAATACGATAATTAAATTGAAGGTTATTGAAATTCAATTGGAATAGGATTTTGGAATTTTGATTTCAAGGATTAATAAAGGTTCTTTAATCTTATATAATTTTTTGGTACAATTGAAATATTTCTTTATAACCTCATAGGTAAATTAGTTCAAAATATTTCTATAAAATTTGAAGGCACTTAAATTGTGCACTAAAGAGATACAATTTTTGGTGGATTAACATAAAGGTTGGAAAAAGAAGACAACGAGCACTTGAGCATATTAGAAGCTTTTTCTTAATAAGAAAGTAGAATTCTTTTTAAATTTCTTGTATTTATTATATACCAATAGATTGGATTGTATAAAAATAATATATATATATATATATATATATATATATATATATATATATATATATATATATATAAGTATTGAAGTTTTAAAACTACTATAAGATTTGATTAGAAATTATGTAGGATTTGGTTAGGATTTCATTAGAATTTGGTTAGAGTTTCATTAAAATTTGATCAGAATTTTATTAGGACTTATTAGCATTTATTAAGGATTTTATTAAGGTTTTTAGCACTTACTTAGGATTTGGTTAGTACTTCATTCGAATTTTTAGGATTTACTCAGAAATTATTTAAGAATTCTTTTTAATTTTTATAATTTTTTAAAATTTATTTAAGATTTATTTATTATATCTTAAATATTTGTTTTATAATTTATTTAAGTTTTTTTTAGATTTTTAAAAATATTTTTTATGATTTATTTAATTATTTATTTAGGATTTGATTGAGATTTAATTATAATTTTAAAGATTCAAGTAAGTTTTATTTAGGATTTTACTATGAATATTAGGTTCTTTGTTTGTTGTAAAATAAAAGGTACCTTTAATAATCAAGCACCAAGTATGTTCTTAGACAAGATAATTCATAATATGACATTATATTGGTAGAAAAAATACACTAATAATAATATAAGGCTATTAATTATAATAGCCTTACAATCCACATTAATGTTAAATGGTACTATAAACTTTAATCACATATAAAGAAAAGTGATTTCTTAAAAGAGATTAGTTATACATTGCAATGAAATCATCTCTTATTATATGCCATAATATTTTTAAAAATTAATCTCAACTCTATTTAATCCATATGCCTCATTTTTTACATGTCACCTATAATATCTTCAAATCCATTAAAATTATGAAGAGTGGATAATTCTTTCTTCATCCAAGTATTGACTCTACAAAACATACTATTAAAAAAATAAAAAAATAAAATTCAATTTACTCTAAGTTCCTATATTGTTTTTGATATAAGTCATAATAAAAATTAAAACAAATCTCTTCAAGTTTATGTTGGTTTTTTATAATATACATTAAAATTTTATAATTCAATGAATTAAGATCTTTCATAGTATATTTTAATTTCTTTATTTTATTTTATTTTGTGAAAAGACTTGCTTATTTATTAAAATAAAAAAAAATATCTGAATCCACTCAACTTGTCAAAATTAAAAAGATGGGGATTTCTTTCTATTTTATAAGATTAATACTCTTGAACTCCATTCATATTTTCATTTGTTTATTACAATTTTATTTGTGTAGATTGGAATAACTTCTCTTTTTTATTAGCATGATTGAAGAAAAATTAACACATTGTGAGTTTAAAACTTCACTTAAAGAACAAAATCTAAAAAAATTCTACTAGTTGATTTTTATGAACTTGTTTGTGAGGTGTAAAACTTTGTAATATTAGCCTTGTAGATAATAGAAAAATAGAGTGCATGACCAAGATGTTTATCATGGTTGCAAGACTTGTTGGATTAATACCTACTATGACAAGAGGTACTAATGAATTAAACTTTATAGGTTTTTATTACAGTTGGATCATCTCTTCTCTCCTAATAAAAAAAAAATCTAGTCAAAGGTCTCTTATATATCATATTATCTATACTTATATGAATATTATTATCTATCTAATTGCAAAATATGTATTGGCATGGCTGGCCAATTATCTTTTAATCTTGAAGTATGCATTGGTGCAACCAATCAAATCTCATCACCTAATAGATCTTTGCATTTTATATTTTCTATATCTATTGATGTTAAAAGTAACAAACGTTAGTATCACAAGACTTAACTTGATCTTATTTTTAGATTATTCCAAATATTTTGCAGAAGATCAAAGCAATTGCTAACTACCTTGATTATTCCAAATATTTTAGATTGTTCCAAATATTCCAATAAGAAAAGGGTGTTAAATCAAGGTAGTTAGCAATTGCTTTGATCTGTGCAAGAAGGCACAAATCCTTAGTGCTTAATGAAAAGAAGATCCAATCATGTCTTAGGATGTGATTGAAATTTCTAGATTGCATGAATCGCACATACTTTACTCTAGTCTCTATGGCTACAACAACCACTATAGCATAAGTTAGTATAAATTACATGTTGAATATTAGAATTTTCAGATTATTTTTTAGAAATTACTTGACTCATGTTAAGATAAAATTTAATATATCCATTTAAAGACAAATTATTTCTATTCTCTATGTTGGTGACTAAATTGCATAAAGACCTCTTTTAATTCCAATTACTTAAGAAAGCGCCCATATTATGCAATTGTACAATAAATTATTCTATCTTACTTAAGTTAGATTGGAACATGTATATTCTAGTATTTAAGATGTATTACATAGAATTTGAATAACAATTGTCCAAATTATATTATCTTGTTTTAAGTAGTACGATTTATTTTTTATTTTTTATTTTTTATTTTTTTCTTCTTCTGTTGGACTAAATTAGTTGTATTTCAATACTTGAATTCTTATATTAGCTAAAGATTATCTTTAGTAATATAGTATAGCATTGATTTCTTGCATATCTACATTAAAAACCTTTTGAATGGCTCCAAATGTGAGACAAATTGATTACATCTTTTTTTCTAAGTTTTGATCTTGTTATTTAATATATTTAGAAAAAATCTCTTCGAGTGTCATAAAAACAAGTGTAATTTTAATCTTAAATAAAGATTTTACTATTACACCTTGAGTTTGATTAAATTTTAGAAGATTTCTTGAATGATTTAGAGTTGTATCTTTAATATCTTTTGTGATTGGATGATGTGGATTATTTCCAAGAATAGCTTAAAGATATAAACCAAGTTTAGTTTTATATTAATGCCTTAATTGTTTCCTCTTTGTGGACCTCATTTTTCTTATATTAGATTGAAATATAACAATTTGCATCAATATATATTTAGTATGGTCTCGTACATACTTTGAATTTGAATTTGAATTTGAATTTTTTTTGTCTAATTTATTCACCAAAATGTTGGTTAATATGGTCATTTACTTATTATATCACAGCAAGTAATAGATAAATGATGGTGAAAATAGAGCAATACGCAATTTATATGTGTACATACATATAACAATAAAAAAACCAGAATCGTGAGATAAGCATTGTTCTTAGAGGAGACATGAGGTACAGATATCAGTAATGGCACATTAGGATAAAAACTCCTCTATCCATCGATCTACCTATCTAGCTAGCTCACTGTCCAAGGTCCACTAATTGTACACAACCTCATTCTGCACAGCCTCCTTTCATGAACTAGTACAAAAGCGCTACACAAGCTACTGCTGCCATGTCATCGCTCATGGTTGGAGGCAAAACTCAGGATTGCCCAGGTGGACAATGCAGGTCGGATGATTTGGCACAAGAGGGGTACACCAGGATTTACATCAAGTTGCGGATGATCTCCGACGCGGTGGCGATGCCCGCCCCAGTCAGGGCATGCTGTACCATCTTGTCCCTAGCGAAGCTGCAGTCGCTCACCGACAGCAGGGCTCCCGTCACCGCTCCTCCAATGGCGGCATTTTTCTGCACATCACCCCGTTATTGTGAAATCCCACATGCCTTGTTTGTTTCTAGAAACAAAAGGGTGCCTTCAGCATACTGCCTGCACCAGGCAGATTTTATCTCATTCTGACAGTGTCTCAAGTGTAGTGAGCAAGCGTGTGAAGTGTCGGCAGCTTACCCAGTCCTGTTTTGAACGCGCCTTCTCCAACGAGTATTCGACCCCGGCGTATACTCCAGCTACCGCTCCTGCAGACCCAGAATGTAGCTTACATTGAGGTACTTCATGAACAGATTTGAGTCACATCCTACTTTGCTGCTTCAGAAGATAGGATGCTGTGAACCTGAAGGAGGGCGATGTAGATGGTTGCTTACCCCATTGAAGACCTTCAAAACCAGTCCTCTTAACCAGTTTCTCGACGTCGGTCTTAGTCACTTGCTCTGCGCATTCAACCACGGCAAGGCGCCTCAGTGCTAGCTTGACGCGCACTCTGTGGCGACACTCATCCTTCGCAGTAGGACGAGTGCCATCCAACAACGTCGCATTTTTAGAGATTTAAGTTTTAAATGCAACAAGCCATTATTCCAATCAACACAGCAATGACGTAAAAATTCGTACCGCTCTTCAAGATACGGAATGTGTCTTGCAAAGCAGCATGGGCTGCACCGACCTGCACAAGATGGCACGGGAAAAATCAGTCTGCGCAGTTTTTGGAACTGAATGTATCCCGAGGGACCAACACAAGCATCAGAGACTCTCTTATCACACTAATACAGAGGCGGAAGCCCCACTTCTTGACTTGCCGATTTTCAAAGCTCGAAGGTCATTCACGAAATACAGGTGCCAAGACGCATTTTTTTGGTATACATTAAATGATTTGTGGAATTATAATTTATCATATTCCAAGTTTTTGCAAGATAGTTTTAAATCTTAAAAGTTGGAATGTTTGAAAATTATTTTGTCCGCCTATTTACATGACTACTTACGCTCCAAATAAAAGAATTATTTTGTATTTATTTGTCATCTATGAATATTGTGTTATTCTTCTCCACACCACACTTATGTAAATAACAATTATAGACATTGAATACATATAAATTCAATGAAAAAGGCACAATTAAAACCAATCAATAAACCATGATTGTCTATGGTTAGATTCACTTTAGCATAAATATTCCTTCCTGATCAAAAAACCTATTGCAATTGATTATACTTACAATAAACTAGGATAAAAAATCAATTATTACGTTAGTTGTCATAAATTAGAAAGAAAAGAAAGAAAAGAAAAATCAACAGCAAACAATACCTAAGTACATGTGTCCACATACTACAAATAAAAATAAAAATAAAATGCACACATTGTAAGCAACAAAATAAACAGAGTCAATATTAGGGATTGACCGTCCACATCACCATGTCCATGTGACTCTTTGATTTTTAAAAGTTAAAAAGTTTTTTCTAGTTAAAAAATACTTTAACATCCAGCAAATTTAGTTTTAATCCTGAAAAATTCCTCGACGGACATTTCCTATTGACCAAGTTATAAATGTTTCGCAACAGACATACATCGCAAGAGAGAAAACACTACATAATATAATACACATCACAATGGTTTTATCCGTGTGGTGCAACAGAATCTGGAGCTGAAGTAAAGCTAGAATAAAGAAATACCCACCGCTCCAACTTTGAGGAATCCATCGACGGAGGTGTTAGCAAGGGGATGACCCAAGTCCACAATGACGTTAAGGGAAGGATCCTCAACAGACGCTGACAACCTTGATCGCACCATTTCGTGCTTCCGATACTTAACCACAACACGTCAGTGAAGTATTACCTGCATAGCCACACCCATGCGGGCAAGTGAGGCCTCGGAAGTCATGAAGGAAAAAGAGCGCGTCTGCTGAACTTAACAGCATCGTAATTGCATTTAGCCGCTACAACAAATCCACACATATACACACATATCCGAGGATGAATACAAGGGCAATGGAATCAACCCAAAACATCGACGAACATGACACAGAGGGGACAACCCTAGAAACCACACGAACATGCCCCAGTCAACCATAGCATGCAATACTCTTGAACCCACGCAAACGAGAGAGACAACACGGAAAATGCGATACCACCGAATGCTTTCACCAGTTTGCGCAGCTTCAAACACTAGCAGACGCAATGCAGATCCAATGCTAGAAAATCAGTACTGCAGCATTCACCACCAAAACTGCAACACACTGGCAATGGATTCAGGTCAACAATAATATAGTCCCGAGCTTCACCTTCAGCGGAGTGGGTGAGAAAATCTGCACAGTGAAGGACAAGTAGAAGCACGAAGATAAGATCTAGACAGACTGGGCGTATATATACACACACATACACACGCACTCCCACAAATCGACGGAAACATACCATCGCATCATGTTGATGCCAGTAAAACCACCCACACCCACCAAAATGGCTGCTTTTGCCTTTACTCCCAGAGCGTGGCGCCAGGGCACCGCCAAGTGGCAATTCCAGAGTGTGAAAACGAACTGAGCGCAAGAGCGGGTGTTGTTGGGGAGATTCGATCTTTGGTGGGGAAGCTTTGAGGGGATTCCAAGATGGAAGTCGAGAGGGGAAGAAGAGAGGGGAGCGTGAGGAAGCACTTTCACATCGTGGAATGGGAGTTGTGCCAGCGTGGCTTCCGTGGATGCCCCTCCTTCATGCTCTTACCATCCTGAAATCTGTGTGCGCCAATAGGATTCTGCCAGCGTGGTGGATACGAGGGCGGGAATCTCGCCTCGTGTACCAAGTGTCGACCTGCCTGGAGTGCGGTAATGCCCCGTGGAGGCCTGGGTACACGCACCCCCCCCCCCCCACCCCGCTCCCCCCGGCACCCTAAGGCGGTCCGGACCCGAGCTTGCGGCTCGGTCCGGACCGGCCAACCAGGACGTACGCCCCCCACCCTTCCCCCACGTCCCTCTTCCTGGTAATGGTGGTGTCCCTCTGAATGCATTTTAACCAAGTCCAATTGTTGTCCTCAAGGAATGAAAACCTCTTTGTCTTTGTATACATAATACATGAAAATTTGAGATTATGATGTTGGAGTTTTTGTTTTATTGAGAGTATATATATATATATATATATATATATAATATTTTTCAAAACATTTTATTTGAATTTTAAATATGTTTTAGAATAAAATTGTTTTACCAGATATGGAACATATTTCTTTACCAAAGTTCATGCATGATGTTTAAAAAAAAAAATTTTAGGAAATTTAAAATATATTAAAGTCCCTTCTGTTCAAAAGTAAAATTTTCCATTTAGTGCACAATTTGACAATTTCAAGATTTGAAAGGAAATCACCTTCTTGGATTTTTTCACATTTGTTTTTTCATGTTCTAATTTTTAGTAACAAAAGAATCTAAAAATATCTTCATGCTTTTTTTAAAAAAATTTAGATTTATTATATATGAATCAAAGATACAACTTAACATTTTATATGAAAAAAAAGAACTAAAATCAAAGACTAATAATGATTAAACACAAAAAATTAATAGAAGGTCTAAAATAAAATTTCAAAATGCTCAAAAATACATAATGAACAAAAACCAAGGAACAAAGTAAGAAAATCATATCTTGCTTTTATTCTTCTTTTACATATATTACTTCTATATTTGTGAATCCCACTAATAGATCTTAATTAGTAGAATTGTAAAAAATATAGTCTTAAGTTATTTAAATATATTAATACTAAGATTAGAGAATATTTTTGATTATTTAAGCATTTTTTAGAATTTAGAAATATTTATAGGATACTAAAGTCTTATTATAAGAAATAGAAATAAATTATTTTCTTTAAACCTTCACAATTTATTTATAATATGTTAGATTTATTAGTTTCTTTGTTATTACTAAGATAATAAAATTATATTTCTAAAAATATATCTTTTATTTATTTTAATTATTTTATTTATTTTATTAGATAAAATTTTTAATGAAAAAATTGTGACTAAGTTTTAGAGTTTATAATTGCTTGATTGCATTGTCACTTTTTTTGGTATTTGTTCTTCTTTTGTTCTTGTTATTTGCTTGATTTACTTCATACTACCAATTACAAAAAACTTTTAATTGGTACAAATTTATAATTTGAGTTGATGAATGAACTTTATCTTCACAATTGTTGTTCAATGATTTCAAGAATAATGACTAAATGCTTAAAACACATCTTTTTTAAGACTTAAAAAATAAAATATATATTTTTATTAATTCGAATATTTGCTTCTTTTCTTTTGTTAAATTAGAATATTTTTTTTCAAATTATTTTAATAATTTTATAATTTGGAGATTCTTCTTAAGACTTTTAATTTATTCAAAAAATGACTTCTTTGTAATTTGATCACTATCTTCTAAAAATGCTCATCCTTTAATGTTTGAGAAAAATTTCTATATAAACTTCCAAAATATCCTATAATAAACTTAATATGTTTTCTTATCTTTGAAGCAATAGCAAGATCAAATAATTAAACTATCTTATTTTCAAAAACATGCTTTAATTTTATTTTCTTTCTATAATATTTTAAATATTTTGTAATATCTTTGCCTTTAAACTAGTTAATCTTATCAATTACTACTTGAAAAGCCTTATTTTTCAAAATTTCTTGGAAATCCATAATATATTGCCAATATATAAATAAAGCAAATGCTTCGAACATGCTAATAGAATTAAGATTAAAATACATATCTTGCTCTCTAAAAGTATCTCTACTTGTAGTTCTACTTGATACTCTATTTGAAGTTCCATCGATAGCTCTACCTTCAACTTTCTTGCCTTTTCTTTCCATAATTCAAAAAAATAAAGAAAATGAAATACTTTATATTCTAAGTTTTTTATGTCAAATTTACCAAATAAATTGTGTAATATAAAAATCAACCTAAGAATGTATTAAGAATTTGACTATAAAAGGGTTTAATCTTATCTTAAAGTTAGATGTATAAAACAAAAAAATAATACATAAAATAATTAAAAACACATTTTTAGCAATCTTCAACAAAAAAATTGAAAGAATATGCTTATAAGTTGCTTAAATATCAATTGCTCTCCTTCTTCAACCTCAATGTTAATCTTCTACTGTCAATAGTTCTCTTTTAAATTATTTAATTACCTTAAAAATTTACAAAAATATTGAAAAGTAAGTCAAATACTTATATATATATAAATTTATCTCAATCCAATTTATAGATTATTTAAAATGATAGAAACTCTTATTGACCTTAAAAAACCAACTTTCAAAATTCTAACTCATTTGATTCTCAATTATACTAAACCAACTATTGGATTAAATTAAATTTTATAAAATATATTTTAAATAATTATTCTCAAAAATTTAAAAATATCTATCCATATTTTCACTAATAAATTCAAATAATAAACCAAAATATAATTTTTTCTTTATTTGAAAAACAATCAATTCATCCAAAACAATCTTAACTTTAAAATGCTCTCATAAAGTCATTTTAAATTCAAATCCTTCTAAATTAACACTTTAAGAAATAATGTCAAGTTTGTTTTCAATTTGTGCTCTTTAATTAACAAAAAAATACCATATTTGTTGTTTGTAGGTGGTTTTGTATCTTAAGGTCTGGTTTTCACCTTGATTTTCAATGAATCCTCTCTGGATGTCAATATAATTTTTTTTTAGATAATTTTTATTGAAGATATTTTTTATATTTTTATTTAAAGTCATTTATAATTTTATTTTTATAAACCTACTTTATTTTGTCTTATTCATGGCTCTACAAAATAAATAAAAGCTCTTTTTATCAAAATCTAGAATTGTTACTAAGTTATTTTTAATACATTCCTAACTTTTATCTATGTATCCTAAGTAATTTGATACTAAATTATTACATGATTTTTTCTATAATAAAATCATTTTCTTTTCTTTCATCCAATATTTATGTTACAAGACAAAAATATAAGTAAAGAAAAATATGTAAAGTATGTAAAAACATAGTAAGTATATAGTATCTTCTTCTAAAAACATCGAAGAAGCTATTTAGACATAAATTAGATATTGAGCTCTTCTATACATACCACGTGGCTAATAAAACTTTTATTAAATTTTATTTTTTATTTTTAAAAATATATCAAAACGACCTTAAATTGAATACTTCAGCTCAAACTTTATAGCTACTTGGTAGTTAGTATGTATTGAAAGAAGATTAAAACCATCCTCAATCTTTTCATTGTCTTTTTATATTCTACTTTTGATTCAAATTCTTTAGTTTCTTTATATCTAAAAGTAACCATTCTAATTCCATTTTATATTATAAAAATATCATGTATATTCTTGAAAAATATTAAAATATCAAGAATATCTACTTACTCTTAATAATAGCAAATATATCCCTCATTTTTGTGATAATTGCAAATCTATCCTTGAGATTGATAAGACATAACTTTATTTCTATTTTAAATGAATTTGAGGCCCAAACCACATGCAACGTAGATTTTAGTACAACATTTTTTTGTTTAAATTAGGCCTCTCATAAAAAAGATGCCAACATTGCTTCCCTTACCATGGTAATACTTCCAACAACACTTTATTATATAAGCTTGCTTACTATGAGGCCAAAGACAAAATACAATATGTACAAAAAATTTGTGAGAATATTTTTTTATCTTATTTATGAATTTAATCTATAAAATATAATATATAAATAAATTGATTTAAATATTTTTTTTAAAGAAAGAAAAAATTTCAATTTATTCAATTATAAAGTTTTTACTATAATTATTTAAAATGATTAAAATAAAAAAATATATTTTTATTTCATTACAAAAAAATTCATACTACTTAACTTCAAATTACATGCAATTAACTCATCTTTTTTGAAGCAAATTGTATCTTTTTATATACACCAATGGTTTTATAAAATATATATATATATATATTTATTATTATTATTTTTTATTTTTTAATATAATATTTATAAATATATAATTTAAAATATATAAATAATATGAAAAAATATCAAAAAATAGATTTATAATCATATTAGGTATTTTTGTTATATAATTAGATTTTATTTTAGTATACATTACAAAACATTTTAATGTATAAAGATATAGAATAAAATATTAGTTAATAAATAATATTAAGCATAATTTTAAGTTTTTAATCAATAAAATAATTAAAGTCTTATAATTACAAAATATTTTTTTTTATTAAAATAAAACATTATCAAATATGATATATATATAATAGAGTAGAAATAAGATATTTGTATTATTGACACATAGGAATAGATAATTAGAACCATGTTTGAGAAGTTATGGAAGTTTTTAAAATTGGGTTAGATTAGTGAATTAGATAGGATCCACCATGGGACATTCTAAAAAGAGTTTAGGGTGGTTATCTAGATAGGGCCTATCATAGAACTTTCTAGAAGGAGTTTAAGGTGGTTATCTAAATAGGGTCCATCATCTAGGAACATTCTAGATAGTCCAAGATGGTAGAATAAAGTATAAATAGGACTAGGTGAGGCCTTTTGAGGCATCTAATCAAGTATTGCTTCAAAC